GAAGTTAACCCTTAGAGAGTGAGAGGAGGCAGCTGAGGGTGAGCGGGAGGGCCCAAGGCCCTGCCTGTGAGCCCTGTAGGGTAGGCAGACTCAGGCCCAGCCTGCCTACCAGTGGCATGCTGTGGATGGGCACTCACCGCACCCCGAGGGTCCCCGAGGGCTCTGCAGTTCCCCCCCCCGGTACCTCAGAGACCTCCACCCAGATGGAGCCCATGGTTCTGGGCTCCATGCAGACAGAGCCCCTAGCTCTCAGCTGCCTGTCCCTTTTTCAGGCTCTGGGGCTGGGGAGCAAGGCTACCTCCCCTTGTGGGGTCTGCTCCTACTGGGGTCTCTGGTGCGCCAGCTGGAGGAGCTCCAGGCCACAGTCCAGAGACTGCTTGCCATCAGGGACTGTGAGCAGGACATTGACTCCTACTGCCAGGCCCTTCTGCCCCAGGAGCCGGAGGGTAGGCCAGAGTCTCCCTCCAGGACAAGGGAGGACTCTGGGACCTCCCATTCTGTCCAGTCGGGGGATGGACCAACGTGGTCAAGGGCCCTAAGGCCCACCACACCAAGGCCCCTGCCCTACCGGAGCTTAGCAACAGGTATGAACCTCTTGCAGCTGCAGCAGAGCCTGCTGACCTGCCAGCTCCCACAGGTAACACAGGCCCAACTGAAGATACTGTTCCCACTCTCCCCAAGACAAAATGTAAAGTGTTTGTTGTGAGAGACTCCATCCTGAGGGGGACTGAGGGGGTAATCTGCCACCCCAACCCCTTAGCCCGGGAAATCTGATGCTTTCTGGGGCCCGCATCTGGGACATTGTGGAGAAGATTCCTAAGCTCTTCCAGCCCACAGACCACTATCCCATGCTCCTTATTCATGTAGGCACCAATGACATGGCTCAGAGCACTCCCAGCTGGGTCATTTGGTGCTACAGGGATTTGGGAGTGGGCACAAGTGGTGTTCTCTTCAATTCTCCTAGTCTCGGGGTATGGGCTGAGGAGGGAGAGGAGGATCCAGGTAGTTAACCACAGACTGAGGAATTGGTGTCATCAGGAAGGCTTTGGCTTCCATGACCACAGCCCGCTCTTTGGCGAGAGAGGCAGCGAGCTGCTGGGAAGAGATGGCCTCCACCTCTCTCCACTGGGGAGGAGGCTCTTCTCAGCCAGACTGGCTGACCTGCTCCACTGGGCTTTAAACAAAGCCCCCTGGGAGATGGGGGAACTACTGTCACTGCTGGCCCACTGAGCAACACTTGCAAAGCCAGCAGGCCAAGGTACTTAAGAGAGCCCACCCCTGCCCCAGCCCTGGTACAATCTGTGGGCAAGGCAAGAGCCCCCAAGGGGACACTTGCCTGCCTGTACACAAATAGTAACAGTTAGGCCATTCTGTAATGGAATAGAGTATATCAGTCAAATTGCCACAGGCAATGAACAGAATAAAATTTGGGGATCCCATAGCCTGTGTGAGAGTTCTAACTTCTTGATTAATAAAAAGGAGAGAAACCCAACCTGTTTCCCTCCTCCTCATTTTGTGAATCTAGCCTGAAAAACTTCTTAACTAAATTAATTGGTGAAAATGGCTCCAAAATTTTAGATAATTTTCACTGAATTTGAATCATATTTTTGGTAAATACTTTATAGGCTGGAAAAAAGTCTTAGGCCCCATAATTAACCTCTCAAGTTTTAACTAATATACCTGACAAATTCCATTTGTAGTCTAGGTGAATTTATCTTCTGTTTATCTCAGAACATTAGGATTTATTTTCTGTACAAAAGCTAAAATTGATCTATCCAATCGGTAATGAGACTTCAGAAGCTGAAGTCTGTATAAATCACTGAAAATTTAGGGATAAGCATTTAAAACATTTCAGTGTTTGTCTGATTCTGCTATTCTACATTTTAAGTACCCATAAAATGGCACAGCTAATCAAAAAATATCAAAAAGCCACTGCTCATATTTCATATGCAAAGGTCTCTACATCCTTTATTTTCAAGACACTGAGGACAGAATAAGCAATAATTACAGAAAGAAGTGACAGACAGTTTCACATTTTGTGCATCTCTACAGTCAGTCACTTTGCAGCTGTGCTGCATCTTTACTCCTCCCCTTCGATCTTCTTATGAACCTCCCGGGTCTTCACCCGAAGTTTGTTGACCTGGGACTCTGCAATGTCAGCCCGTTCCTCAGCCTCTTCCAGCTCATGCTGGATCTTGCGGAACTTGGAGAGGTTGACGTTGGATAGCTCCTCCTGTGGATGGACAGAGAGAGTTGTGAAAACCAAAGTTGTAGCAGGGCCAACTTGGACTTGTGGGGCTGTGACTGCTGAGGGGAAAGGGGAAATCCTGATTGTCTGACTCCCAAGTATCATTTGTTATGTGAATTCTAAGCACAGAGCTTCTTGTTCTCACCAGTTTCTAATCTGGAAAGTTAACTTAAAGGTAACAGAAAACAGCTGTACACATTTAGGGTTCCCTTTGCTTCAGCTGGGAAGTGTGCTGTTAACCTCGTGAGACAAGGATCTTTGTGGGTGACATCTGGTACTGGACCAACTGTATGGCTGGGAGAGATTCAGACAAGGTTGAAGGTGCAAAACACCCTTCTTCAGAACTTCTGCTCTAGCAAAAGGTGAGTTTGTCCAAACACAAAGTGACACTTACAGCCTCTTCAGATTGTCTCTTGTAAGACTTCACTTTCATCTGAAGTTTGTCAACTAGATCCTGGAGCCTTAGAACATTCTTCCGGTCCTCCTCAGACTAGAAAGAATATGTTTTGGGACAGAGTTAGTTCAATTGTCCATTACCTGCTTGCTTCTTTCCCATTGAACAGTGAAAGGAACGTCCATAATAAAATATAGTATAAAACCTGGATGTAATCAACTCAACATTTCTAACACTGTCTTTCAAACACCTTCCTGGTACACTCTTGTTTTCCCATGGAATTACCGCTGATTGCTTTACTGTCTGAGAATGACAACAAAATCCCACTATTCCAGGTCCACTTGCAAACAGTCTGATCTGATGGGAGAAAAATATGTCAGCAAAGACTCCTTCCTTACCTGGTAGGTCAGTTCCTTTACTCTCCTCTCATATTTGCGCACACCCTTAATAGCATCAGCACCGCGTTTCTGTTCATTCTCAACCTCTGCTTCCAGCTCACGTACCTGCAATGAGAAAATGCCTCATTAGCACTTCACCCATGACCGAATACTGGACATGCTTATTATATATATACACATTTTCAGAGTACACACT